GTGTGTGTGTGTGTGTGTGTGTGTGTGTGTGTGTGTGTGTGTGTAGTGTGGCAGAACAAACAGGACGTATCCTCTGTCGCTGCATCATGTTATTCCTCTCCTCATGATGATGCTGTTTAATGTGATCTGTGATCGTATAAATGTTATTACACACTTTTCTGTTTCTGTTTCAAGATAAGATTTGAGGATTTTAAACAAAAACAGGCCAAAGATGAGAAACATTAATGTCAATCTGTATTTTAACCATCACATGACGGCTGTTCCACATCAGATTGGCATTTTACTGACTCAATAATACAGTGAGCTGCAACCTGAGCCCCATTGTGTTTAAATTATCATGAATACAAATGTGCTGAAGTAGCTTTTAACTGTTCCTGTTTGAGGTGAACACACAGATGAACAGACACTTTTCACAGCATCACTGTGACAACGAAGAAATCAGAGGTTTTGAGGTAAATGCGAACAGATAGAAAAAGACACTGACTGTTGTTGTTTATTCAGCTCCTTCTCTTTTCCCTGCAGATCTTTCTTTATTCGCTCCGTCATCTCCATGGCAGCCGAGACCTGACAGAGGGAAAGGAAACACAAATTATCATCAATGAAAATCAATTCAAAGAATTAATTTACATCATCTGTCACCGTGGTATCATTCTAGCATCACAGCTCCACCCACCTGTCTGGATAAGTATGCCGCCCTCTCCTCCACTTCCTGTTTTTCACTCCTCAGTCGTTCCCCTTCCCACCTCTCCCTCTCTAGCTCCACCTCTCTCGTCTGTAGCGCCACCTTCAGTCGGCCCATGCGGCGGTTCACCCTCTCCTCCACCTCCACGAATATCTGGGCAATTTTACGGTCCAGCCCCAGTCCCAGTCGCTCCTCCAGCCCAATCCCTACCGACAGCCCAAACTCCAGGACCTCGCCTAGTTCCTTCCCATGAAAAGGCTCCAGAGTGCCGGGCAAGGCCAGAGCGGTGGAGGGGTCGTCTGGACATCCTGTGGAGGTGGCAGGAGGAGCGAGCTCTGAGGAGCCGAACATTTCCCTCAGCAGTTTGATGGAGGCGGAAGACGAGGCCAGATCCAGGCAGGCCAGCTGCAGGGGCATGCTGTGGGCTTCCATACCCAGAGAAAAGCTCTGTCTTTGGGCTACAGCAGGGCCGGGGAGTGGGAGGAGAACACCAGGTCTGGAGCTTCTGACCCGAGCCTGAAACATGAAATAAAGCTGACTGATCGTCACAGATCATCTTCATATACAGTCACAGATCTATCTATTTATATATGTATGAAATACCTGAGACAGCAACAGCAGGGTCTCATATGTGTGTTGGCTGACCAGGTGAGCCCGGAGCTCAGGTACAGACAAGAACCGAAACTTGTCGCCACATCGAGGACAAAAGTAGGGCAGCTCCGAGGATGTGGATGAGGAAGAGGAAGAGGAAGACATGATTCAGCAGGGAGCTGCAGACCTGGAGGATAAAACAGAAACACATCAGAAAACAATGGAAACACTGCAGCAGAAAGACAAACTGAAAGGAGGAGACAGAAATAGTCGTAGCATAGACACACACACATACACACACACACACACACACACACACACACACGTGTGGTTATAAAGAACGACTAAAAACTGGGTCAGTGTGTTCATGAAAATTTAATGAGACTGAAATCTGCAGATTAAAAACAGTAGTATAACGAAAACACGTTTAAATATCATCACACACACACACACGTCCCACTCATGTCAAATCCTACTTGTGCAGTTCCTTGCCTGTTGGATTTGACATGAGTGGGACATGTGTGTGTTTTCCTATGATGCTAATCACTAGTGAAGCGTGCGTCTAACACCCCCCACAGGCTGAATCTCCTCCGGTCAACCCCCATGCAGAGGAATTTTAACTACGCATGGATGAGCAGGAAGAAAGAAACGTCTGGGGCGTGGACTCACATACATGTCTTCGTCCATGTGACACCTTTATTAACCCTCAATTCAACGCCTCTAATCTGTCTCAATGCTAACTAAATTTAAAAAAAGATTAATCACGAATGAAATTTAGTCTAAGGAATAATCTGTGGCCTGAAAAAGATTCTTCCTGATCCAAAATGTAAAAGCATTTACCCAATCAATGGGTATATGTTGGTTTAAAATGTATAATGTACCAATACAACTATAAGAATAATCCATTACAAGTAAAATTTCGAAATCTATATAAATTACGAATGTTAACGTAAGTAAAAAAAAATGTTTTATATTTATAGACTTTCTAGAAAAGTATGAAAATTGAGATTGTACTCCCAAGAAATAACTAAATGTGTTTACGTTGAAGTCACAGCGCCGTCTGGTGGCCACAGTGAGTGAGCAAACGCATCAACCAAAAATGGCGCTCGACAAAGTTTGTTCAAAATGAACCATGACTGCGATGTGTCACGTTATTCAAGTAGTTGCTATTGTAACAATGACAATTACTCCGCCTTAACTTTAAAATCTAGTTATTTTAACGCAAACACCAATTTTTTCCTGAACAAAGTCTGTACGACAAATATATAAAGCTGCAGGTTGTATCTTGTTGTTCATTATAAAAACAGCATGACACCGTTTTAACTCAGGGTTAGTTGGACTCCAGAACGGTCCAGCACATAGACACATCCCACGAAAAACATTTTATAAACATTTATCTGATACCATGTGACTAATTCTAACTGGAGCCAAACTTAATAAGTGTAATAAATATTAAAACAGTTTACAGCTGCAACGATGAGTCGATTCATCGATTAAGAATCAATCAGTGTCCATTCAAATGATTGTTTCTGTTACAGTAAAACTTTCCTGTAGCGATTTTAAATGTTCTGGTATTTTATGAACAAATCCACCGAAAGAGAAAAATCGTGGATGAGTGAAATCAACCTCAGCAGAGACAGAAATGACTGAACTCTCACCTAACGAAGATCTGATGCGTCACACGCTTCATGATGAAAATCCGTTGCCATGGTTTCCGTCAGGATTTCGCTCCAAGCTCGTGCGGATCGATCCACATCAGTCCGGCACCGCGAGCGTCTCGTGCGGGAGGAGCGGCGGCGGGATACCCTGAGCTGTGTGTGCGTGCATGCGTGTGTGCATGTGTGTGTGTGTGTGTGTTCCCTGTCCTCCTGCACCCGCCGCGTGCTCCTGTGACGTAAGAGCCGCGTGACGTGTCAGTGCTGATGTGGGGATGATGGCGGACGCTTTGAACTCCGCCCCCTTTTAATTAATTAAATTAAATTATTTTAGATTCATGTTTTCAGATTTAAAAAAAAAGTTTTTTCCTTCATGATTTTTATTTCATGCAATTTATTTATTTTCATTATTTGTATTTTGGGGGATTTATTTTTTTGGAATATAAAGTATATTTGTTATTTTGGACCCAAGAGTCTGAACTAAGTAGACTTGAATAACTACAGCAGGTTTTTTTTCTATCAGACTAATAGAAATAAAATGAAAACACAAATTCAAATGTATATTTTATTTCACTGTTCCTGTTTTTGTCTGATCACAAATCTCCACCGACACTCACCAGACTTTTATTCTGAAGGTGTTGACCTCAGAGTCTGATTACATTTTATTCTGAAAAGCAATGAACATTGATTACTATTTAAGACTACAAGATTTTATTTAATATTCAGATTTAAAACTGTAAAACTGTAAAATTGTGTAATTTATCACATACTTATTAAAACAATGACTTGAAAACCTGTCTCTTTATGTTTGCAGCTATATCCTCACACTCACAAATTATAAAATACTATACTTAGATATATATTGAGCTCTATTTTATTTTAATTGATTTTATTACTACGTTTTTCTCTTGTTGCTGACCTGTTCTTCTCATCCAGTACTTCATTGCACCATTGACCCTCAAACGTGATACTTGAACTCATTAAATAATCGTCTTGATGTCAGATATGACCTAAGAGATGTTTTGTTGTGAAATCTGTAAAATGTTTGGGCGTCTTGACATTTAAAGGAAAATTAAATTTCAAAAGACTTTTTACACGATCTTTCTGGGGAAAATAAATCAGAAAGTAACAAGTGGAATATTTAGATCCCATCATTGTTAAAATTGATTAATTATATTCTACAGACTACTTTAAACTTTTACGTGTGAATATGTTAAGTTCTTTCACCTGAGTGAGAGAGAGAAGTGATTTTCCTCCACAGTCAATCGATAAAAATCAAATCAATCAAAAAAAAAATGAAATGAGTCTGAAGAGTGAAAACTTACTGACAGTAGAGCTGCAGTGCGGTCTAATGGCCACTGGAGGGCGCCAAAAGCCTGCAGAGAGTAGGATAAGCGTGATCAGATGTCATCTCTGTTAACGTGTTGAAACAAAACTGCAAAGAGACATCACACAAATGTACTTTTCTGAATAATAACACAACCTGGAGGAAACTGTGTTGTGTCCCTTCCAAAGGTCTTTCCAAAAAAAATGAGAAATAAATGTTTAAATCTTGCAGAATATTTACACAATAAGATTTACTGACTCTGACTTTAAATGCACTTATTTTGTCACTGTTACTCTTCTACTTCCTACATTTTGAGCTTCTTTGAGTCTCTTTGGTAAGAGAGAGAGTGTGTGTGTGTGTGTGTGTGTGTGTGTGTGTGTGTGTGTGTGTGTGTGTGTGTGTGTTGTGATGTCTCTGGGTGAAAATTAAAACTGGGGGAAACTTGGTTCTCTGGGCTGCTGTTGCCATGGCAACGCAACCTTCACAGTTCATAAACTGGACAAACTGTTAAAGTGACAGTACTAATGGGACCATTTGTTGCCTGGCAACAGCGACCTGTTGGTGGATGGCACAAGAAGTAAAAAGAAATGCGGTCTGATGACGAAGATGAAGAGGAAGTTGAAGATGAAGAGGAATATGATGAGGAAGATTATGATGAGCATTAAGAGGGACACTGGACTGTCTCAATGTTTGTTGATGAGGATGATGAGTGTGATGAAGAGGCAGCTGGGACTCTGTTTTTTTACGATGATGAAGAAGATGGTATAGTGATGATAATGATGAAGACGCCAGCGGGACTCTCTGTTTATGATGATGATGATGATGATAATGATGAAGAAGCAGGCGGGACTCTCTCTCTCTGTTTGTTTGTTTATTGACAGCAGCAGCAGCCTCCATGCACAACAGGGAGCAGTAAACACTGAGCTCGGCTGATCACAGCTGCCCTCAGTCGCCATGGTAACGACCCTGATGAAGATCATTTACAATCATTTAATGTCCGACTCGTACAAATATACACACTCTGACATGAAGAGGTAAACAAACCATAGAAAAATAGAATGTGTTACAAACATAGAACTCCGTGTCAAATATAAAGTCATGTGACATAAAAACAGGAAACGACATCACACAGTTTCTTCACTGGTCACGTCCTCATGCACCAAATATTTTATACAGTCTTTAACTCCGTCAGACGGAATGTCCTCCGTTAGCCTCCATCTCGCCCAAGCTCCGAGAAACATCTCAGAGCTCCGCCACCGGTGGGCTCAGAGGTCAACACCGGCAGGAAGTCTGAAAGTTCAAGTCCTCCCGCAGAGGAGCGTTCGTCCTCGTCCACATCGGACTAAAGTCCCCTGAACATCTGTAAACATCTGTAAACATCTTCCACTTCTCCGGGGTCTCAGCTTAAATCGTCTTCAATGTGACTTCACATGGAAACGTCACTCTGACGCCTTTCCGGTTAAAGGTTCAAATCCTGATGCTTTAAATTGGCCTCACTGCCCAAAAACAATCAGCGGGAGCGCGTGTTGCTGTTTACACGCCAGGCGCGTTCAGGGCCAGTGAGTAGGCGGCCATCATTTGGGCGCGCAGCTGCTGCTTGATGTGCACGCGCCCATGCCTTTTCCTCTCGTCGCTGCGCGCGAACCTCTTACCGCACACGTCGCATGAGAAGGGCTTCTCTCCGGTGTGCGTGCGCGTGTGCGTGGTCAGGTGGTCGCTGCGGCTGAAGCTGCGCGCGCAGATGGTGCACTGGAACGGCTTCTGTCCCGTGTGGATGCGCACGTGCCTGTTCAGTTCGTCCGAGCGCGAGAATCGACGCTCGCACCCCTGCACCGAGCACGGGAACGGTTTCACTTTCAGTCCACTCTTGGCGGGAGCTCTCCTGCCCGCGCGTGACAGTTTGGGGGCTCCTGCCGCGTGCATGTTGCCGATGTTGACTATCGGGAACGCGCCCTGCAGGAGGGAGGAGAGGAGATGAGGGGCGGGGGGGAAGTGGAGGTCGCTCTGCACGAGCTCCGTCTTCACCGGTCTGCTGATGACGTATCTGCCAGAATCTCCTCCGGTAACCGGAGCCGCCGCCAAACTCTTCAGCCACTCCTCCAGCCCCAGCGGCTCCTGCTTCACCTCACAGCCGGCCTTCAGTTCGGCCGGGCCGGCCTCGGAGTTCAGTAGAGAGTCGATGAACTCAGCCACATCCACCTGTTGCTCCAGAGCTGCCAGCGGTAGCAGAGAGTCGGCAGTGGCCGGGTACAGAGCATCATTCCCGCTCATGGAAGGTGGAGCAGAGCCGCTGCTGCAGCTGGAGCTCACAAACTCGCTTTTTACCACCACCGGTGCAGAGATGGAGGCGGGAGGCTGCTGAGCGGCACCCGGGGCAGGGCTGCATGGAGACGGGCTGAAGAGCGGGGATGAGGGGGAGGCTGTGGCCGGAGAGAAGGCTGCAGAGGACGTGGTGGATTCGCGGAGGGTGTCGGTGTCGCCCTGCTGCTCCATCTCGGTGCAGATCCCGACGATCTCGGTGATCATGTTGAGGATCGCGTCCGCGGTGCTGCTCAGTCCCGCCGCCGCTGGAGACGTCTCCGGCTCCGCCAAAGAGCTGCCGGTGTAACCGAGGGAGGGCGAGAGCGTGTCCGAGGAGCAGTCACTGAAGTCGGAGAAGAAATCTGAGTCAGAGGCGTCGGTCCCCGGAGAGAAGACTGGAGAGAGAGAGGGGAGGAGTTAGAGTCATTACATAATAATCAGCTGATCGATAACCTGCAGTCACACACCTGCTCTGTTCCACCAATCACATCACACATCATGTTGATTGACAGACACACACCTTGACAGAAAGGTGACCCCACGTCAGAGTCCGTCCCGTCGCTGGTGCACGCGCTCACGCTGTCCACCCAAGCGCTGCACGCGTCCTCGAACTCCGACATAAAGCTGTCCTCGCGCTCCAGCAGCATAGTGTGACGTGTGGCGGGAAAAGAGCTCAGGTGTGTGGTGGATGGACTCGGGGATTCCCTTGCGCCGCTCGCGCTTATATCAAACCAGGCGATTAATCCGTTAAACCGGAGCCGGTGAGTTCCGTTAGTCAGCTCGGTGATGCTGAGGATGCTGAGGATGCTGGGCTCCCTCCGCTCGCTGCCTCTTTTATACTCTCCGTCTCCTAGGTAACTCCCGGCCCGGCCTCATTGGCTGGAGCCGGAGCGAGGGATTCCCCCCGCCGTGCGCTTCGCAGCTGCCCAAACATGGACAACATCCGGTGGTGACGGCGGGTATCCCCATACCATATAAGGACAGGCGGGAAAGAAACGTCGACATGAGCGGAGAGAAAGGGGTTCCCTTCACTGCGGCAAGAGAGAGAGAGAGGGAGGCAGAGAGGGGGAGAGACAGAGAGAGGGGGGGAAGAGACAGAGAGAGGGGGAAGAGACAGAGAGAGGGGGGAGACAGGGAGAGGGATAGGGTGAGACAGAGGGAGAGAGAGGGAGACAGAGAGGGTGAGACAGAGGGAGAGAGAGACAGAAAGAGAGAAATAGAGAGAGAGAGAGAGAGATTACACAACCAGGAGAGAGGGAGGGAAGGATGATGGAGGGATGAAGAAAGACTGATGTTGCTGTTGTCGACACATTTTAAAGACACGATGTGAGTTGCCATGTTTAACCTCAGAGGACGATGACACGACTGACACGGTCAAAATAATAATAATAATCAGTTTATTAAAAATGTGTGTCATATTTTTACAGTTACTGTATTTGACCTCTTTGGTTTTATTGGTGATCAATCAATCAAACTGTATTTGAATCGCCCATATTCACAAATCACAATTTGTCTCAAAGGGCTTAACAAGGTAACATCCTCTGTTCTTAACCCTCAGTGTCAGTCATCACATTAAGTCATTCACTGGTTTATCTAACAGGGACTGTGAACATCTATATTAACTTAAAACAGTATTTAAATCATAAAAAGATTATTTATAACCACGAAGAAATAATCAAACAATCAG